ATGATTTAGACTATCAACCGTGTGAAATATTATAGAAAAAACATAACTACTAAATCCCACCATTCGGGCAAGGCTTGGGCAAGCTGTAACGCTTCATGTCAATAGCCTTCGTGGGGAAGGAACTGATGCCCTAGGCAAGCGCCAGCATCCGCATGCTTTAGGGAAACCTAGCCGCTTAATTAGGAGCTGCTCACGATTGAAGAATTTCTTTGTCCTTGCGCAGTAAAGCAGCAAAGGTATCTCTAAAAATCTGTTGGTAGTTGCTTCAGGCCTTCGCGGTTTTCACATTCGCATACACGCCTTGTCGACAATTTCGGAACATACGTGGTGACACGCCCACCATACTGCTTTTATCATAATTTACAACCCGTGGACTGCAGCTGCACGTAGATTTGCTGATGCGTGTACTGCAGATGTCTACCCAGAATCGAGCCTCATTTTGGTGAGTTACCTTCATGCTAAATAAAGCGAGAGCATGCTCGAATAGATATGGCACTGTATGTAGCACAAAGATGATGTTGCTCAATGAACAGAAGAACAACTTGGTCTGTGAGCGAACAGGGATTAGCTTCTGCTTTTCAGAAAGGTCTCTACAAGGAAAAAAGCGAGAAGTTTCAAAGTTCAAGCCACATCGGCTGATGATGGTGATGCTGATAACACCGGAGTGACTAATGTCACTTGACCCTCTGCAAACGTATGTCACAGAGGAGTGAACCCAGCAAACACCAACCTCAAAAGTTCAATGACTTGCCAGAGTATTTGGATTTGAAGCTTCGGACTTCTGGATGTACCATGTACCGCATAAATCATTCTAGTTCAATACAGAGTATTGTGAAACTGGTTGAAAATTGAATGCCATCTGATCGAGAGCGCGTTGTTACCATGACAGAGAAATAGAATCCACACCATAACAAGAAATATCGAGACCACAACAAAAAACAACTTCACCACGCCAGCGCATTGCAAACCTCACCACGACAAGGCATCAAAACCTCACCACGACAAGGTTTCAGCAGCAGCAGCAGCAAGACACATCAGCAGCATCAGCACCGGTATTGCTGCCGCTACAGCTGCTGCTGCTGCTTCTGCTGCTGCTACAAAAGCCCATCCACAGGCACCTGCTTTTCGCAGCATGCCAAAAGCTGCTGTTGATTTCTGGTGTTCGGGTGAACCCTCCGGGTGCTTTTGGCACCCGAGTTACCATTTTGCTAATTTGAGAGCCCAAAAACCTCAAAATGGTACCTCCCCCGCGTGTGGCGGGACAAGGGGGCGCAGGGACGCGCGGGAGTCTCCATTTTGCGATTTTCACAGCCCCAAACCCCCAAAATGGAAACTCCCCCGCGTGTGGCGAGAGAAATGGGGGGGCAGGACGCGCGGGAATCGTGATTTTGCGATTTTCACAGCCCAAAAACCCCAAAATGGTAACTCCCGCGCATGTGGCGGGAGATCGAGGGTAACGTGGCGGGAGAGCGGGGGGGCAGGGACGCGGGAGTCTCCATTTTGCGATTTTCACAGCCCGAAACCCCTAAAATGGTAACTCCCCCGCGTGGGGCAGGGACGCGCGGGAATCGTCATTTTGCGATCTTCACAGCCCAAAAGCCCCAAAAGGGAAGCTCCCACGTGTGTGGTGGGAGATCGAGAACGCGTTCTTGCCATGACAGGCTAATAGAATCCATTCTGGTGGCGGGAGAACGGGGGGAGGGACGCGCGGGTCGCCATTTTGCGATTTTCACAGCCCAAAACCACCAGAATCGTAACTCCCGCGTGTGGCGGGAGAGCGCGGGGGCAGGGACGCGGGAGTCTCCATTTTGCGATTTTCACAGCCCCCAAAATGGAAACTCCCCCGCGTGTGGCGAGAGAACTGGGGGGGCAGGACGAGCGGGAATCGTGATTTTGCGATTTTCACAGCCCAAAAACCCCAAAATGGTGGCTCCCACAATCTCCCACACGTGTGGCGGGAGAGAAGAGAGAGAGGGATGCGTGGGAGTCGCCATTTTACGATTTTCACAGCCCATAACCCCCAGAATGGTAACTCCCCCGCATGTGGCGGGAGAAATGGAGGAGGGACTTGCGGGAGTCACTTTTTTGCGATTTTCAGAGCCTAAAGAGCCTAAAACTCATCAAAAGCTCGAAACCCAAAAAACCTTGCCGCAATATTTGCTCTAAACCATTTCGAGGGCAGGCAGAAAGTCGCAGATCTAACTTATTATTTATGTCCCTGCCCGTCCATGGCAGGCGCTGTCAATCAATGCCAATTCGGACAAGATTTGCGAATCATGTCGTCTGCAAGCTGCTCATGGAGTCGTGCACTGTGTAAGATAGCCAAGACTCCACGGCTACGCACTGCCAGGGTTGACCCCAAACCCTTATCAGTGTAAGAAAATAGCTTGTCGTTGTGGTCAGAAAGCCTGTCTGTGTGTCTGCAAGCCTTGTCGCGGTAAGGACTTACTCTGCGGACAGCATGGACAGACAGACGTCACTTGACAGGAAAACTTAAGCTGCAGGACCCCGGAAGCCCTTCCCAACAGTGCATCAAGGGGGCGTCACGTTCTGAAACGTCAGGGTGGGGAACAGAGCCTGAGAGATAGGGCGTCAAAGGGACGCAGATTCTAAACACTCCTGCGGTTCCGAGCAAGGGGCCTGCAAATACGCCGCTTCACACCAACGCAACTTGTTGGAAACAATGTCTCTCTCCGTTTCATGCAAGGAGGTCGTACGCACTTCAGAATGGCATGAAGAAACGATTACGAATGCACTCGATTGGAAGACGCCGAATCTCCGATCTCCGTGGCAAGAAGCCAGTCAGCTCAGGAAGAAGTAAGCTCGTGACAGATTGATAGCTGCGCTAAATCCGAAGCCCTTAGCTCTAACACCCTAAGAAGTCTGACCTTAACCCCAGACCCTCAATCCTTTTTTTGTTGCGGGCCCTGCTCCATCAGCTGAAAGAGCCTCCAGACTTCCTAGTTCGGAGGAGCCAGCTTACCAGGATACAGACACCCCAAGATCAACATCAAGAATGGATGAACACCCCGCAATCTGGAGTCTAGAGTCTCCTTGCGAGAGTCGGCCTCCTGGGCCATCGAGGGTGGGAGAGGCCGTTCTTCGCCTGCGCTCCGACCGTCAATGAAGACCTCGGTGCACGTGGCTGCAACCGGGGGGGCCACTGCCAACTACCTGACCACTACCGTTATCATCGCTTACGAACACACGCACATATGCACCTGGACACTCGCAACACACACACACACACAAGCACATACACGCGTGTACATACATGCACAACACAGACACATACACATACTACATACACGCATAATACGCACACACACACACACATACCGTTTTCATATACTGGATTCACTGGATGTGCGGCCAATACCTCACTACCGCTCCAGTTACCAAAACATGATGAAGAATGAAAACAGAAAACGATGTAGTAGGAATCTGTCGCTGCTGCTGCAGCAGCTACTAATGACAATATTGATGCTTCTGCTCTACCACTACGACTGCAGCAGCGAACTGATGTTTCTGATGCTACTCCTGCTACTGCTGCCAGTGCTACTACCGTATTATTGCTGTTATTACTATTGATACTACTGCAACGACGACTAGTACTACTACCACTACCACCATGACGACTACCACTACCACTACAACCACTGCCACTGCCACTACCACCACTACGACTACTACTACTACTACTACTACTACTACTACTACTACTACTACTACTACTACTACTACCAATTCTAATGCCATTGATACTGATACTTGTAATGCTCTTGCTACTGTCGCCATTGCTGCTGCTAGCACGCAGTGGTAGTAGTATTCGTCATAGCCTACTGGCCCTCGTAGCTGTTGTGGCACTCCACTTGCGGTCTTAGTTGAAGCAACGGCTGCAGCTAACCTCGCTCAGGATTCACACAGCATGTTTTCCGACGGCCCGAGCAATCCTTACCAGAAACCGGCGCTGTTCTGAACTCGAAGAGCTCTTTCTCACTTCAGGTGATATGAAGCGGAGACACGTTCAGAACAGCACCCATGTACTGCATCCGTTCTATACATGGAGCAGCAGCAGTAGTAGTAGGAGTAGGAGTAGGAGTAGGAGTAGGAGTAGGAGTAGGAGTAGGAGTAGGAGTAGTTTGCGGTTTGTTCCCTAACCTCCAGCCTGCAACCTTATGCAAAGCACCCATTCATGAATAAGAGGCTGAACTGCAGTTGTTGAACGGCAGTAGTACTGCGGTCGGACAACACGCACTTGGACAGGCTTTGAGCCTTCGCAGTTGCCTCACAAATCTCTTCCGGTGTCCCAGTTAGATAGATTCGTCGAGCTCATTATGCTCGACTCGGCCAAAGGAATACAGAACGCCCAGCTTGCAACTAGAGTGTCTACCTGCGCGACCCTCGGTGAAGCAGCATCTGAAGCGTGGCGATCTGGCTGCTTCTCTGGCCGATGCTTACGAAAGGGTTCATTGTGCTGCACACAAGACCCTGCTCGACCCGGCTGGTCAACAAGCCCGAAGAACTTACCTTACAAATTCCTGCTCTGATGTTGGAAACGGGTTGACCATCCGGTTTTGAAATGGCCACAATGCCGCCAAAAAGTTTGGATCAGACTACTGGGATGCTTCAAGCAAGACCGCTCTTGAAGTCTTGCAGACTCTGCATCCAGACATGGTCCCGAACGTTCATCGCCGAGTGATGTCCGAGATTCCTGCCGAACCCCTGAGGAACAGCTTTGACTGCAGCACATCTTCAATGTCAATGTAGCGATGAAAAAAAAGAAAGCCCTACCTCATCTCTAAGACTCTAAGAGGTCCGGAGATATCAGGACAATGCCAGCAACTGAATGTTGCCTAAATACCGAATTGCATAAAGAAAGGCTGTCGATGCAAAGTTCCAGCGAGCTTCTGCTCAAGCTGAGACATGAAGCCGCGGAGTTGGTCCAAAAAATTCTCCCCGCGTGCCCCAATGCCAAGGTCGTGGTCCCCTTGTGGGAGCTATCCTGCAAAGGATCGAACCTCCAAAGATGAGAGCTGTAGCGCGGCTTCTTGATCGGACCCGCTTCGAGAGCTCCACTGTTGAGCTCCTGTCCCTGAGACCCCTTCGGTCCAGGAAGCAGATCGACGTAGGCCACTGCTCTCAGACTGCCTGAAGCTTCATGTCAGCTGAGACTGGAACATACTGGAACCAAAGAAACCGATGCTTTGACGTGAATGTCTGGTGAAGCGCGACTCAAGTTGGGCCAAGCGACTCCTGAAAGTGAAGGAAAGTATTTCTGACCTTGCACAGTCCGCTTCGAACGAAAGTCTCCTGTCACTACAGCGATTGTGCTGCGGAATGAACGGCGTTCCTGCGTCGCTCTAGCCCAGACTGCGAGCGTTGGGGCGCACTGCGGCCGTCGCAGCCAGGCACTCATTCCCGGGAGATAAACAGATGCCACCTAAACCAAGGATGCATCCAAGCCCGAACCTGTACAAATCTGTTTCCAAGCTGCGGAGACATCAAGAACTGGGCCACCATAAGGTACGTCCTCAGAAGTGCATATCGAAGACTGCCCAGGAGGCTTCCAAACCACGTGTGATTTGACCAGAGTATGATGCAACTTACCTCTAAGATCCTCTAAGGTTGTATGACTCTCAGGTGCATCCTGGAATCAGAAACTTGAGAGGCCTCTTCATCAGACACACTTCGTCGGCTCGGAGGAGCCTGGATGTCATGCAAGCTGCACCCATGTGAAACGGTCTAGGACTCAGACTTAGTGTGGAGACTTCATCACCGCGTCTGATTATCATCCCAAGATTCCACTTCTCCGTATGCATCTGACTCAGCCGACTCCTCGAAATCGGGCATGTGGCGAGTCGATGCCGAGGCCTTGAATGCATCGCCGCGGTGAAAACAGCAGAAAGTACGCCGCGGCGGGCAACGGAACTGTCAGGAAATTTTGAGCAAGCCACATCTGTGAGGCTGCTGCCGGCAGCAACCGATGAGTGGGGCTGTTCCGTTGGGATTGACTCTGCCAGAACATCAGAGGTATCCGAGATGTACGGCTCAGCCGCCTGGTCCTTGTGCCGAAAGCCGGACGGCCAGCCCATGCAGGGCCCATGCAGTCTTCAGTGCGCTGGGTCTTGGAACTTGCTGCCAAGCGGCTACCGAGACCACATGCTTGCCGCGATACTTACGCTTCTCATCCGTGTCGTGAGCATACGGACATTCCTCGCAAGGCTGCGGCCACCGGATCTGACTGCGGATGGCTGAGCTGAGTCTGTGCCTCGCCCAGAAAGCAGGAGCCACTTTCCAGGAAGGCAGCACACCACCTGCGATCATGACATTGAACCCAGAAGCAGCGCTCCGTTGCGAATGCTCTCAGGTTCTGTCAAATTTTATCATCCAGTGATACTGAAACCCCGCATTCAGATATCCGACAACCGAAAAGCACTCCTAGCGATTCGCGCTTGGTGAAGCTGCCCCGATCTTGCCGAGCGGCTTTGTCTTAGCAAGATTCGGCTTGTCACGAAGTCGTCTGCGCCCATGCGCAAAGTTGCAATTATTGCCTGCACCACTCGAGTCCGAAGGCAGGGACAGAGGGAGGGGAGGGCATGGAGAGAAAGAACGACGGGGACAGCGGGGGAGCGGCAAAGACAGGGTGAAACAGAGTGCGGGAAATAGAAATAAAGAGAACTGCAACCAACGCCACGCAATCGCACACTGGTCACTCGCCTCAGTGTCATCATTGCTTGACTCCAAGACAATGAGTAGCCAGTGGGGCTGGCTATACATTATCGGAATCGGAACATGTACAAACATGTCGAGGCAAAAGATCTGTGGCCAGTTGTTGGTCGAAACTTCTGTATGTTCACGAGTTGGTTGCTGTCATCTCTGTGGGGACAACCCCGCGCACACACTCTGCGCTGGTGCGATCGCCTCGACTTTCGGCAGTCTTTCTGACAAGTTGGTGCTTTGTTAGCTGCAAATGCAGGGCAAATGCAACGGAATCCTCTCACACAAGGTTCCTGAAGTTTGGGGAACAGGGTGGATGCTACCTCCAGCTGCGCATAGCGGCGCCCAGGGGAAAAGAAGATAGCTTTGGACCCCCAACGACAATATGATTTGCTCAGGGGAAAGGAGCAAAAGATATCAATCATGAACATGATTGCCAACAGCCCTCAGGCCGTGTTATGCAGTGCTGGGATTCCTCAGCATACACACAGACAACCTGCCGTCAACCTAAACCCCTAACCCCCAAAACCCCCGAACCGCTAAACCCTAAACCCCCAAACCCTAAACCCCTAAGCAGCTTCAGGCATCTCCAATGACAAGCGCTACGTCACAGACACACCCGGGCTCCGGCCTCGGGAGCACTTGCCCTTCTCCTGGTCATGAGGGGGACCTTATTATGGGGTCCTTTTAATAAGGATCCTACTATTGAGGGTACTATATATATATACACATATATATATATATGCACTTTTTTGTTTTATCTAGCTGGTCTCAAGTACGAAAATCTCCTACTGCCAAGGACTTTGGTGGTACTGGTGCTGGTGCTTTGAGGGTAGTATTTTGGAATTGACTAGCTCTTGAAAGAGGCTGGAAAGGTCGCGAGTTCATCTGAATCTGCACCCGAGAAGCAAAGGACCATCAGTATCACTGCAATGCGCAAAACCTTATCCTGATATCTTCTCCTGAATCCTACAACGGCAGAACCCCAAATCGTCCCAAGATCTGCTGAACCTGGGAGGGCCACGATCCCTAACGCTTGGGCTCTTGGTCGACAACCCACCTACATCAGCTTCCGTCGCTGCAGCCAAGAAACGAAGAACTTGCACAGCGTGGTTCCATGAAACAGAGACTGCCGCATGCGATGAGGGTGACACACACACACACAGGCTCTTTGTTTAAATGGTTCTTTGCCACCGTCTTCGATCGATGGTAAAGCCCCTGCAACAATGGATGGATGCGAACTTGAACCTTAGACCAACTACGGTGGTGCGAGACGCGTTGCAGCAGAGCTGGAGCATGTGCTGGAAGCATCATTCGCATCCATCTGAGAGCTTCTCTACCGCTCACTGAACAGACGACACCAGGGACGGTATCGGCGCCTACGGTTTACTGTAGGTGTTCTGCCTCTACTGCACATCCTATAAGACTCGAGTTGGTTAGCTTTAACCAGCCATTGCATCATTGATGTCGCTGCGTGCACGAACAGTTTCAAACAGTTTCCGCGGGGAGGTCACTGCTGTCAAACTGTGAGAATCATCACCAATTGATCCTGCAGTATGCTGAATGCAACAACGGCAGTGATTGGACAAAACGGCAAGTGACTCTCCCATGGTGACATACGTCATCCAAGCCGTGCAAGCTCTCCGAAACTTGAACCCAAGTGCAGCAGTGATTGTTCGGTTCCGGAAGGTCAGATGCTGCATGTTACGTGTTTCACGCACAATGCGAAATCCCGCAGCACGACGTGATCAACAAGCAGGACGCAGGCAGAACAGTCTGTTTTCGTGTAAGGGCTTGGCAGACACTGCACCAGGCGCTCCGGCATCTGGACCCTGGCGGGTACGGGTTTCAATAGGATTCTAGCGGGATGGTGGCGTGGTGGTCTGCTGGAGAGGCCGAGGTGGCCAGAGCGGCATCGGCGCTGCACTGTTGACGTTTGTCTTGTTCCTGTTCGTTCGTGTTGGTGGCGGGGTGGTTGTGGCAGCTCTGGTTGGTGGTCCTGATGGTGAAACTGAACACCACCTGTCCTTGACAACTACGACACATGCCAATTCCACCGGCACGCTCGTCGCCAGAGTTGTGGACTCCGGTCACCAGGTTGCCGTTGTGGTTGAATTTCAGTAGTTCTCTCCAGCTCCCCCTAAGTAGGCCTGGCAGAGCTCGACGAGCACGCCAACCACGTGGCGGCCGAAGGGCTTGCATGCCTTGCCGATGTGGATGAACAGAACTGATCAGTTTGACTCGCTTTGCTTACCCTCCTTCACACTCAGACCAGCTACAGACCGGCAAGTTACGTGTTCAGGGGTGCAGGTGTTCTGTCATGTTCCGTCCATGCAATCATCTGATGCCTACAGTGCGTTGGTTGGTAGCGTCTTTGCATTCTCCGTCTCTCTCCAGGAACGAACAAGCACACAAACACACACAACACAAAGACTTGGGTGGACAGATGTACACTACGGTAGCACGAGTTTTTCCATAATTCAATCGTACGGACCCTGAAGCAACCAAATTTCTCTGCGAACCTTCGGGCACTTCCCCGTAAGCAGCTGCATGTCTCCCAGTCTCTAAGTGGACCTTCGTCTGCGATGGTTTAGTTCGCTATGATTTTCGAAGCGCGTCGAAGTCCTCTTGACATTGCTGCCGCTTCTAGACAGAGCTCGGTTTCCGGGTCAATGCCCTTCCGGGCAGACTTTAGCCTTTTTGACTCCACCTGTTCGACACTCACCTGCTTCCCTGACTCCCCAATGCTGGGTTTTTTGAGAATCGCTTGGCGGAGACATTCCACACGATTGTGTATTTCTGGCTGTGGGTGTTTCTACGAGCTGCAGCACCACACCAATCAGACATTCAGTCTGAAACTGCAGTCTACAACAACAAGCATATACAAACCATCGTCAGCAGCAGCAGAGGAGCAGCAGCAGAGCAGCAGCAGCACCACCACCAACACCACCACCAACACCACCACCACCACCAGCACGGTAGCTGTGGCACAGCAATAATTACGACGCCTCAACACACATCAAACTACCGCCCCCACCGCCACGGCCACGACTACCGTCATCCTCATCCCTCATTGCGGCTTCGAGCCATGAGCTTTGGCTGCTGGCCTCCGGCAGCTCGGAAGAAGCCCCGGGCTCGGAGGTTATGAAGCTGCCCTCAGGCGCATTTGGACTCTTTCGTTCAGCCTTCAATCTTCGACTCTGCCAGCCTTTGTCTTGGACTATTGCTGCCGCTGTCATGTCAGGCCGTGACGTTAGCGTCGAAGGCCACGCGGTTCCGAAACTGGCCCAAGAGCGGAGACCTCCAGGAGATGCGCGCAACAGCAAAGTGCGACCTACCACCTACCGCTCCTCATTCCATTACACTCGGCAGGAAGCCGTTTCTGTGCGATTCTAGACGGCTCACAAGCCATGCATAGAGGCAGCTGCTTCAATTAAAAGTTTTATTGTAATGTAATAAGGGCATGAAAAGGCATGTATGCTGCGGGGCAATGAGCCCAAGGCCAAAATATGCACTCTAGCAAGCCACTCTTGATTCTGCTGTGGGCACCTGTCAGTGGAGAAGCCCACTTGAAGCAGCGCGTTGTCTGCCGCCTCCAACACCTTTCACATCTGGAAACCTCTCTGCTGGAGCCGGGGTCTATACGACCTCGCTGTATGGTCTTCACGGAGCTCACTTTTTCAGGCAAGGCCAATTGGTAGTGTCTTTGGGCCCGAAGCCTGACTGCGGTGAAGCCTCATCTCTCTCACTGACAGGCGCTGCATCAGTCGGCGGCCTCCAAACTTGTAGCTCTTTTGCATTCTTGGTTGCACATGCGCCGACTGTTCACCAGCCCCCTTGACTTCAATGTTGCACAGCCACTTCTCCCGCAAGTATCTCCTTTCTGGCCTGAAAAGCATTGGCTGTGCCCGATGGTGCGCCTAGCCCGGGCCCAATTCCAACCTGCTCAGGAAGCACTCCCGCAGTCCCAAGATTGGGTGTGGAACATTCGCCCCGAGTGCAAAATGCTCAACAAGCATGTTAAAACGGCACACACACACACACCATAGTATCTTCTCCTGCATGCTCTCGACGACCCGATTGAAGTTTGTGCTCGCCTCCGACGTTTTGCCCGGATCTGCAGGTCCGACCTGGCGAGAAACCGTGCGAGGAGCTGAAGGGGGCATTTCTTGTAAATCGCTCGAAGAACGCATTCCTGTGCTCATGGAAACCATGCTGGCTCATTGCGAAAGCAGACCCCGATCGACTGTTTGCATTCATGAGCACAGTGACTATGACTCTTCACACCATCCCATGGCAGGGACCTGCCTACAAATTTTAAGAGAAACCTCATATCACAAGCCGGCCCAACCAGCGCACCGTCATCGAACAGCTCTGTCAGCTGAATGGCCTGCAAGTTGGGGTTTTCATTGTTTTTTGCCGTTTCGGTTTTGAAGAACCTTTGCATAAATTGCACGAGTGCCGCCATGCAGCATTATCAGACCCGACAACTGCATCGATACTCACACCTTTGAACCACCCTCCTCGGAGAGGAGCTGCGCCATGTTCTCGCGCAGTGCCAAACTGTCTCTGAGCACTCGCAAACCGGCCTGACAAAACGAAGCTGCCAGGACTCGCAAACGATACTCTCTGGGAACCCACGAACTCACGCCAGCCTCCGAGCCGCCGGGCCTCAGTGCTGGGCCGAAAGATGAAGAGTAGGGAGAGCTAAAGCCTGAAGCTTTTTGCGAAGCAAAACTCAGCACCCGACTTTGAGACGGCAACAACGCGCTCCCGCCTTGGTCGAATTAGCAATGGCAAAGCTCACCTTCTCCGCCCGATCTCAGAGAAGCTGGCAGTCGTAGCATAGCTGCGGCAAGCCGCCTGGCCTTCGGCACATGTACACCACGCTCTGCATCTGGGAGTGCATATTGCCTTGGGCCCTTGGGCTTGTCAGCCTTCGGCCCGTCTCTGGGAACTGTGGAGGGAGCCCTATGCGCTCCGAATCTGCAACCTACTACTGGTATCAACGCAGGCTGACTTCCCAAAGCCGCAGTACCGAAAGCCTCGCTGGCCAGGTCTGCGGCGAGCTCGTGTGCGGACACATCGCTCATCCCGGGGCCACTTCCGCAACGTCAGATGAACAAGTTTGTGCGGCTTTGTGCAGTTGGGAAGTTCTGGCTTTTCGTCCAGGGTTGCGCAAGGTTCTTTGTGCTTGTGCAAAGCTCAGTTAGCACCGCTGAGTCCGCACTCCACTACCATGCAACCCGACAGCAATTTGCATAACGCTGGAACGGTTTCAGTTACTGAGTTGCATGCTAGGTCCTAGGTCGGCTGTGGCCCATGGACCTATGGCGTGACTTAAACATGCCACAGGTGGACAGAGCCTAGAGGGCTAGCTGTCGGCCTGAGACATCGGAAAATGTAGATCAGATAACTCATCCTTAAGGCAATCCATGTCTGAAGCGCCTGGACTTCGAAGAAGTACCGGCCTTCCTGCAGAGGCAAGCGTTTTGGCCCTTAGGCTTTCTCAAAGTCATCGCCAAAGCCGCTCCGTCCTTCACGCCGGTGTCGGCACGCACCGCCGAACGGAGGCTCCTGCCAGCACCCATCTCGTCTCAAAATGCCCTCAAAGCGGCAGCTCAGTCAAACGGAACAGCAACGAGACAGCAAAGTTGAGGTGTAGCGCAGCGGCGCAGCCTGAACATGCCCTGCGACAAGGACGACAAGACCCTGGCCAGCGGAGCGATTGCTTCGCAATTCGGCAGAACAAGCAAAATCTGCCTGACTCCGAGGTAAAGTGGCAGAACAACATCAGTGCATGCCCGGAACATGACACCCTGCAGAGTGACACCGCCATTTTCTTTGGCAAAGGGCTGGTCGCATGCGCGATCAGGGCCTGCACTTCCTCCTGCAATATTCCACGGCAACTTATCGGGTCCGCTGACTGGGCCAAGGCTATGCGTGCAGGTCTAGGGATTGAATCGATGGGAGGACAATCGCAAGATCACACAAGTCTAGGTGGCCAGTGGTTCTCCGTCTTTCGAAGCACGAGCCTACCATGAAAGTCGGACCCACTACATGCATATGACAAGTAACGCCGCATGCAGAGCTCTCGGAAGCAGCCCAACTGGAAATTGGCGGTTTGTCAGCTTCATGGTGTGGGAATTGTACAACTCCGGATTGAACTTTCCGGTTCCGGCGGTGGGCTTTATAATAAACCACGTCTTCGAAGAGAAGAAACTGTTACTTCGAACATTCCCGCTCGGAAAGGAAGCATTCGTTTAATCCCCTACGGCGCTGCGGGACGATAGCACTTCAGGATCCTCTGTGGGCCACTCCAGGGATGGGCACTCTGCACGGTACTTTGCAGGGAATACAGGGGGGCGGCGAAAAGAGCCCGAAAATCTAAGAACCCCACTTGAAAGATTGGGGAACGTTCAGCTTAGGATTCAGGGTTCAGGGAGTTTAGGGCTTGTAGTCGGAACCAGACTGTTTTTCCCCGAAACCCTTTGACCCTCCTGGCTCAGGGGCCGCACACCTCCGGGATCGATCCTCGGAGCGCTTTTGGGGACCGACGGCACTGTGGGGGCTTAGGGGGCTCAGGGGCAAAGGTTGCAGAATGTTGCAGAATGTGGAGATTGCAGGTTTTGGGGGCTCAGAGTCCAGAGGTTCATAGGTTTCAGGTTTCGGTGGTTAGAAGGGACGTCCACCCACAGAAATCAGACTTCAGAAGGATCTCGTCATTGAGCCTGTGTTTCTCTCCCTACATGCCGAAGACTGTCCCCTACAAACACCTTGCGGCTCCGAGAAGCGCAGAGTATGAGAGCCCTTGTCCCCAAAAACTCCTCAGCACCCAAATCCTGGTCACCCAACATGGCCCAGGGCCCAGTGCAGGCTGCGAGGCAGATCCGAGCCCTGGAGGGCCAGCGGCCCCCAGCTGACGCAGCAGATCTCGAGTGGGGCCGCGCCCACCTTGAGTTCCAAGTTGGACCCGCGTTGGACGTCGGTGACTTGTCGCTAGTCAGGCTTCAGCAAGAAAAAACTACGGCACCATGGCTATGAAGGAGTGCTGCAAGGAAGGGAAGTTTGGTCGAAGCGACGGCCAGGAGAGCCCGGCGCAATGTCGCCGAATCGCCGCCGCGGAGCGAGACGGCTACGATCCTTGGGTTTTGCGAAGAAGAATGCAGAATCGGAAGTTAAGACACAGACTGTGACGAATCGAACACGTCACCAACGATATGTTTACAGATGCTGCAAGATCGGCAGCATCCGGCTAACCGGTGACAATGCTCCGGTGGGTGAGTCTGTGCGGACCTTGTCTACCCTTTCAACTTTCGCCAGCCATGCAACGGCAACTCCTCATGCGGGACGTATCGGGACCTCCATGCGCGTGAGCAGCTTTACCCGGGCACCATTCTGCAAACCGCGAAAAACACTGAAAAAAAGATCCACCGCTACTCAGCCAACCCAACGGCAACAGGCAACACGTTACTACTCCCTGGCAGATTTCCGGAGTAAGGGTAGCCGACTGTTCAAAGGTGTTTGGATGGAACGTGCTGCTGCGTGCCCGTACACTCCTGAAATTTCTGAAACTGCCGGCCTCCGCGGCTTGGAGCCCCATGTCGCTACAGAGGAGCCCAGCAGGGTGCCGACGTCCGGCGGTGGCGGCTCCTAGACGGATCGCTGCCGCTGATATCCGATGAAGGAAGTGGCACCACAATGCCCAGCCTCCACAACAGCGACTTCATCATGCTGCGCATACGTCAGGTCCTTCCCAGTCACGTATGGGATGAGTCCCGACATGCTGCTACGGTTCGATGGTATGCTGAATCGTAATTTATCAGTCATCTCGGAGCACACAAGCCTTCAAACGCCAGTTCGGTTGCTTCAAGGGTTGGACAAGCTCCTCCAGCAACAGCGGCTCAGCGAAACCTTCGTAGGGCGCCTTCGTTTCCAGCATATCCATCTGGTGCTCCGACAGAGGCCTGCGCAGCCTCCAGCAAGTCCGCGAAAGATGCTGCAGTTTGCAACCAGGCTTCCAACACACACCATCGCAGGGGTCGAACTTCCAGGTTTCCAAGCCCCCGGAGCACATGACTTCTTACAAGCTTCGACGTGCACAACATGAGGACTGAATGGCTTGCCCTCTGCAGGGAAGATAGCGTGGCTCACGAAGCATCAAAGACTGACATTCCTTTTAGCCGAAGAACCTGAGCTCATGCGTCAATGCGCATAGGATTCTGATCATGAAGTGATACTGTACAAAGAGGAACTGAAGGCGACAGAAATTGGCACTCTTTCTAGTCGGCCTGTTGCTGCATTGCTCTTGGCAGTGCACAACAGCTACTAGCACCGGCTTCAGCCCGAAGAACTGAAATGGATGCGTAGCGTTGCCAGGATCAGGGAGAGATCTTCTAAATCCCTGGGTGGTCCGCCGGCACTCGCTTTTGGAACCCAAGTTGCGTGTCTTTACTTGGTGGGCTTTGCCTGGCCTGATCGGCTTGCCTCGATCGGAGATTGATGCATGCTCTTAGTGTGGTGTGGTCAGGGCATAGTCGCGATACGCGTGTTACATGTGGCTCCGACGATGACGAAATGTGATCTTGCCTCAGTTATCCACACGGCGCCCCTTGGTTCTCTTGCATCCAAGATCGGATTGCCCCCAGGTTCCAAGCACTCGTCCGTGCTCAGCCTTTGGCTTTCCTTTGCAGCAAGATGCCCGATCGCGTTCCCCACTTCTCCTCTGGATTGCCATGAACTGCCTCGAGCCAACTAGGTTTCTTCTTGCCCTGCAGGTTCATGCACAATCTCTAGCAAGAAATCGAGAAGACAGCGCTCGTATTAGCGTGCGCCCCGACTTGGGCCTCACCATGAACGTGGACTGGGGTGACTCTGCACCTGGTCAGCGCATGCGGGTCACCGAAGCCGGTGCAGCTGGCTCACATGTGGCTTCCGCGGCAGCAACTGAAACATGGCTGAAGGCTGGACACCACGATTGAGCCCGCCTTCGCATGTCAACGCAGATCTCAACCCAGCGTGGTTTGTTAAGACCTCAGAATCTCCAGCAGCTAGGGACCGACAGCAGCCCGAAGCCAACACGGCGAAGTAGCTCCGGAGTCCAAGTCTGTTGCCAGGGCACGACCAGGCCCGAGGCCCACAAATCCACCGGCATCGGCAAAGGCCGAGCTATCAGCGAGGGGTCCGGCCTCGAAAGGTCGATGAGAGATCAGCAAATGAACGAGAAAAACGACCTACGCGTCTCCATACCTCTCCTGATGGCCTTAAAGTCTTAAAGTCGCCGATGGGTCTGACGGTCTGGCACTTGCCCAGGATATCATGTTCCTACAAGATCGCGAAGTCCATCCAGGCAACAGGAGCTGCACGTAGGTCGGCCGCTTCAGCGGATCTCCTTCGGACAGCGCAAAGCCTGCAGCGAAGGCAGGTGATGGCGCATGGCTCCACACACAGGTTGCCCTGAAGGCCTGCAGGTTTGTGCGCCACAAAGGAGATTCCGCTGATCTCCGAGAGCGGATGGCCATTGACAGTGATCTCGTGCCTGTCCTAGTGGCGGCTCACAGCTTTAACAGGCTTTCAGGGACGAATCTTCGGTTCAACAAATGTCTGAACAGCTTCCCGAGCAACAATACTACTTGTAGCATCCCCCCTTCCCCAATACCCGAAACCACAAGCACAGTGCCGGCAGCCTCGATCCAGCGATCTTTGCTCTGGATCTGACCATCCACCGTGACGCGTGACCTGCGGCGTGGGCTGCAATTTTGGGACACTTGTGAGGGAATGCTTCGGCACCTTTGCAATCCCAGCAAGAGGATATACACGTACACTCTCTTCCGTAGGGAGATCGGGAAATGCCCAATGCATCAAGCACAGAAAAGCGCTTTGCCCAAGGTCTCCCATTCTGCACGGAGAGTGCAGTACTGATTGTTTTGCAAAGCATACTCGGCAACTTTCTTGGTCGACAGTGCCTCTGCACCAGCGCCAAAGCATCCTTGGGAGTGGCAAACAACAACTTGCAAACGCAGACTTGTTGGCTCGACTCATTCGTCGATGCCGCGCGAGGCTCTTGTGCACTGAGCCCCAAGGCATCCTGCAACCGCTTCTTCAGGCGCTGGGGTCCTGCGGCATTGTGCGATTCTGCGAAGGTGAGGCTGAGGTTTCACTTCCAGCGCTTCCCGCCCACCTGGTTCCCAGTGCAAGGGCGGCGCGGCTGTCAAAGGTGGCGTTACCGCCCTCGGGGCCGACAGTGAAGTCGGCAGAAGAGGTTTCCTTGCATGACCCGTCCAGCTCAAACGCGACTAAGTGACTAGAACGTGAGTGAGGAGTTGGTTGGCCTGCTCTTAGCCTCACATTGTCTGCGCTTTCGAACCGATGCGTCCGGGCAGCTGGAAGCCCCAGGTCGGATGCCAAGCCAAACTGCCATTCTCGGGCCAGCGCGCCCGATTCAGATGTGTCCAGGTCAGTTGGTGAACGCGGCGGTACGGCCTGGACACAGACAAGGACATATGCTATCGACGTTTAGGGCAACGCCGAAAAGGCTAGCACGAGACGACGGATACCCTTCTTTTGTATGGGAAGAAAGCGCATCGCGCCGGGTCCGTCGCCTCCGCCCAAAACTAGGCTGGCCGGCGCCGGGGAAGCTTTGAGCTACCCGACGCGCCGCCCGTGGGCGGGGGACGACCCTTAAGTCTTTTAGCAAACGGCTTCGCCGATACTGGGGAGGCCTCCTCCCCACTCCCCAACACGAGGGTGGTAGAGGGTGGGCCGAAAAAGCGATGTCGAGCCGGGACAGCTGCCGGCACGACGAATCGCTCATGTCCATGCGCACACACGTGTGCTACACGACATATGCTATCGACGTTTAGGGCAACGCCGAAAAGGCTAGCACGAGACGACGGATACCCTTCTTTTGTATGGGAAGAAAGCGCATCGCGCCGGGTCCGTCGCCTCCGCCCAAAACTAGGCTGGCCGGCGCCGGGGAAGCTTTGAGCTACCCGCCCGGCGCTCCCCACCCCCACACAGCGCCGGCACAGCCGAACTACCGGAAAAACTCAAATAGCGCAAGCTCTCAGCTCCGCCGATGCTCCGTGGATGGCGAACTCGAGGTCGCCAGCAGTCTTGGCCAGGATGGCGCAGATTCTGGCCGCCGGTGTGCGTACTCTGGTCCAGCCCATCGCCTCTGCCGTAGCTAGGTCGCCGCGGGACACCGCATCCGCCACATTGGCCTTCGAAGGTACCCGCCGGAAGTCAGGCAGCCATTCCATGTCCGCTGCCTGGGACCAGAACGCCGCCAGGACGCCGTTGACCGCGGGGTCCCTCCCGTAGCCCTTGGTGAGGGCCCACTGGCCGGCGACGTTGTCAATGAACGCCAGCCAGCGTTCCGGTAACCGCCGCGCCAGCGTTGTCAACGCCAGGACCTGGGCGACGATCTCGAGCACGTAGATGAAGGCTCGCCTGGAGCCGAACGCCATCAGGAAGGAGGATGGCGCCTGGCCGTAGTCATAGTAGGTCTCGCCGCCGACTCTGACCACATATCCCCAGCCGTTCTTGCCGCGTGCCCCCTTTGGTGTGGGCAGGTCCGCCGGCAAGAAGCCCGCCTTGTGCTTGACCTCGCCTGGCTGGAAGAACGCGTCCGCGTACACCAGGGCCTGCGGGGCGCCGTCGTCGACGAACGGCACAAACCGGGGCCGGATGTTCTTGAGTAGCTGCCGAAGCGCCCGGAGGGCCGCCGCCAGCCCCACCGACAGCTCTGGGGATGACTCTGCCGCCGCGTCGTGGGCTCTGGCGTAAAGCGGCTTCAACGCCGCCTTGCCGAGGCAGCCGAAGGTGGACTGGGACGCGAAGCTCAGCTTGCCCGCCAGCTTCTGCGCCGCGTGAGGTTGAAGGGCATTCGTCTCCAGCGCCGCCTCGATGGCCCGGAGGAGCTTGGCCACCCTCGAGGGGGTGGGTCGCAGGGACACGCCGTCCGCCTCGATCGTCATTTCCACCACGTGCCGGGCCGCCGGCTCCTGGGCCTTCGACGGCTTGGTCTGCAGGCCGAGTTCCAGGAAGAGGTCCGCCAGGGAGTGGAAGGCCGACTCCGCGAGCTCCGGGAGGTCGACGCCGTTAAAGTCGTCCACGAAATGGCCGCCGACCAGCCAAAGCAGGACGCGGGTCAGCGCCTGCATCGCGTCCGCGGCCCTGTTAAAATTCCAAACCGACGCCGCGGCTCCAAAGCACATGGCCAGGTGAAACCAGAGTGTCAGCCCAGCCGGCGTCGCCAGGAAAGTGCCGGAGTGGGCCGGGTGCCGGACTGCCCACTGCCGGTAGGCATTGAGCAGGTCGTGCCCGAACAGCCTGGCCGCCGGGACCCCACGATTCCCTGCCAGTTCCACCACGCGCCGGATGAAGTCCACCACGTCATCCACGAAATGGTGGGTGGGGACGTCCCGCGCCAGGACCGTGGAGTTGTGGCCCGAACGCCGCCAGTCCTCCCCTCGACGCACTTTCGTGTTCCCCTCGCCGTCCTCCTGCACTATGGCGAAGGACGCCGCGGCAAAGTGGCGGCCGGGGGGCGGCGGCACCAGCCGATCGGCGCCGGGCGTGTTCAGCACCGGCACGGTGACAATGTTCCATCCAGCCGGCGGGGCCGCCGGACCGACCACCCTGCCAAGCCGGGCCTCCGCCACCAGTTCCGTGAGGAGGGTCTCCCAGTGCTTGCCGGGCTGCGCCGCCGAGGCGCGCTTCCGGACGTATTCCCAGTTGGTCGCCGCCAGCTGGTCCAGGGACACCGGGTTCTGGTAACGGCCGTCCGTCCGCTCCTTCCAGCCGGGGCCACGCCGCACCTCGCCGAGCATGTCGAAGCCCTGGGTGAGGTCCGCCGTGAGGCCCTCGATGTCGGGGTAGCCCACCACGCCGAGGAGCTCCAAGAGGACCGGGATCTGCGTAGGCCGGTCCTTGTCCGCCGTGGAGTAGGTGCTGCGCACCGGAGCCGGGCGCTGGGCCAGCCAGGCCGCCGTCTCCTCCACGCGGTCCGCCACCATGTCTCTGATCTCCTGCAGCACCTCGCCGCGGATCCTGACCACGTCGTGGCGCCAGGCAGCCGCGAGCGCCAAGACGCGTTCCACCGCCGGCTCCAGGTCCGGTCGCCGGGTGACCGTGCAGTGGCTCAGTTGGAGTGCCAGCCGCCAGTGCTCGTCGGGGTCATCCTCCGGCAAGTCTAGCCGCGACGCCAGGCGAGGCGGGGGGCTCATGTCCAGGGGGCCTGCGCCGAACTGTGAGGCCATCCACGCCACCGTGGTGGTCCTCGGTGCTACCGGCACCGACGCCTCCGCCGGCTGTGCCACCGTAAAGGCCATGAGCATTGCCAAGAGGCGCCGGGCCACTCCCCAATGCCAGCCGTTGGCCACCATCCGATGCCGGGTCCTGTCATCTCCGTCGCCGAGGTCCGTGTACCCCGCCGGTATGTGGTGGAGAGCCTCCTTAACGCCGACGGGGATGTTGTGGAGCCGGCCGGCCTCGTCGTGGTCATCGCCTCCTCTGTGTAATGCCAGGGGGCGAACTGCCGGGAGTCCGCCAGCCACCTTGCTCTCGCCGGCTCCGGGATCTTGCCCCGAGCTCTCTTCGGCGCCGGGCGGCCGTTCTCGTCCTCCGCCGGCGTGGTGGCGCATGGCAGGAGCAACCTGCTCGACGCCACCGCCGGGTGAAAGGCCATGCCCACCGGTAGCATAGTGCTGGCCGCCGCCCTGGCTTCCTCCAGCCGAAGACGGTGGAACGGCCCCTTCTTGGTCCAGACCAGGGGTGCGCCGGTGGCCGGGTCCTCCGTGTGCTGCCGGAGGTCCGCCGAGAGCCACCAGAGCCTCGGCCTCGAGATCCACCCGAAATCGGAGGCGCAGACCAGCGCCGGTTCCACCCCAAGGCAGTCGGATACCTCCTTGGCCGACGCCGGCTGCATGACAACATTCTCGAACATGAAGCCAACCCGCCAGCCGCGGAGCGCCGCCCTCAGCTCCAGGACGAACTCCGCCGAGCGCAAGAACAGGCTTCCGCGGGCGCCACTGTGGCCCGCCTCCGCGCCGATCTGGGAGAAATCTTGGCAGGGGGGCGCCGCGACGAGGAGGATCACACACTCGCCGGCCGGGTCAAGGCGCTTGACTTCCGCCGCCACCTTCTCCACCGAGTCCGCGGTGAAATCACCCCTCTGCCGGAGCCAGGGCAGCCGGGTGGATGTCAATCGCCGGCAAGTCTTGTCTGTCTCCCACGCCATGGCCGCCCACGGTGTGCCGAAGAGGTCCAGGATGGCCGGCGCCGCCCCGACGCCGTCAAAGAGGGAGAGCAGGATGTACTTGCCATCCCGGCGCGCCGGCCTAGCCGGCTTCAGCACCACCGCCTGTGCCGCCTGGCTCCGGTCGGGTACCCCACCCGAGGCCGAAGCGCCGGGCGGGGCCCCGTGCTGTCCCTAGCGCCTGTACTTCTGCGGGCGGTCGCCGTCCTGCGCCTGGGAGTCTCTCTTCCCGCCGCGGTCCTGCCACGACTGGGCCCGGTCGGCATTGGCCCACCGCCGATCGTCATGCCAGTCCTGGCGGCCAGGCTGCTGGTTGGAGTCGCCGCGAGGGCGCCAGTTCTGCCGCCAGCCACCGCCGCCGCCACCGCGGCTGTCCGAGCCACCCTCGTCGCCGCGGTGCTGGTGCTGCTGTTGCGCCTGGCGGGGGTTGTTGCGGCGCCGCCTGTTCTTCTTCACCTTCTGTGGCGCGGGCCCGGGCTGGTAACCCTGGTGCGCCGCGGCGCCTGGCGGGCCGTCCGTCTCCGGGTCCGGCGGGTTGGAGCCCTCGCTGACCTTGTTCCTCGCCGGGGGCCGTGGGCGGGAGAGGACATCCAGGAACGCCGCCTGGTCCTTCATGATCTCCGCCGTGACCTCCTCGAACGTCCGGCGAAGGCGCATCTGCATGGCCAAGCGCCGGGATGACGCGTCCCAGTACTCCGTGATCGCCTCGAGCTGGGACGGGCGCTGCCGGGCCTTCGACGTCCACCACTGGGCGTACTCCGCCGCCCCCTTCTCTGTGGCCACGCCGGTGAGGGTCCAAGCCCAGCGCACCGCCTCGATGCCGTCGATGACGCCGAGGACCCCCCTCGGGGTCCAGGGGTCCTCCCGGTCATGGACCAGCGCGCCGTCCACCAGCCGGATCGCCTGGCCCCTCTCCTTGTGGCGCCGGATCGCCAGCGGATTCACCTCCATGGCCGCCGTGAAGGTGCGCCGCTGCAAGATCTCACCCAAGCCGACCGCCGTGTACTCCTTCGACTTTGTGTGCTCGAAGTACATGCGCGCCAGCACCTCCTCCGCGCCGAGGAGGAGGGTCGTGGGGAAATCCCGAGGCTCGCCGGCGACCGTCACCTCGTTGTACCGCTTGACCAGCGGCCCCCACTCCGGGAATGTCTTCGGTGGCTTGTCGCCGCGGCCGGGGCTGGCGCGGCCGCCGGTGCCGGGACCGCGATGTGGGTGGCCCACTGCTTGTGCGCCTCGGCCCAC